GTTTCTTTTTCAAGCCATAATGGGTTAAATTCGCAGCTGTTCTAAATTTATATTGGCGTGACGTTTCGACGTAAACACACTCTACATGGACACGGCGCACACGCACTGACTGGCCTTGATCGTGGACGTGGGTGGGAGTGACTTCAGAAATACTCGGCTGCACTCATTCATCGCACCATTTTAATGAAAATTTTTTTCTCATTTCTTAATTTATTTAAAGTTTGTAAACGACGTGAGTACGAACCGACGTTAGCCGAGGTAGCGTAATTCGGAGTATTACTGTATTGTGAAAGAATGTCTTCGACTGTCTGGTAACCGATACACATCACTCATGATTTCTGGAAAAGGCGGTGAAGCAGTTCCTTCTGAAAATAACCACAATGATGATGGACTGGGACCATTCTTATCTGTCTCTAGGTAATCAGGAGCACAGCAAATGTAAGGTACAAAGTTGGCAAGAAGAAAGTCGAACTGAAACGAGAAAGGGCTTGTGCCAAATTCCACCATGTATTGGTGGAATAGTCTAATCTAACTCTGCCCTTGTGAGAAAATGATGATATGCAAAGAGGAAACAGAGAAGCCTACAAGAAATCTACTCTGAACCGATATCACCAAAATTTGACATCGTCACCAACGTGACATGCATTGGCGATCAGTCATCAGATTAATAACTCAGAATATCTTCCTTTACATTGTGCCTATCCAAGAATAATTTACCAAGTAAAGTCTGACGTCCAATAGGAGATAGGAGGCACCCATGTCATATAGTCTTACTTCGCACGTGTTTCGTAACTACGAGATGCGAGTTTTTTGCTAATCTTTCTCCAGATTGAACAGTGATCGGGCAATCATGATTCGATATGCCTATCTGAGTTAGATAAGCCAACAAAGTATTTATGAAGTTTCATTTAATTCACTTGTCTCGGACTCATGGACATCGCTTCTGAAAGGTAAATTTTTTCCTGTCGTCCGTATTACGATCACTAATAAAAAAATTTTATTGTTTAATGTTATTGTCTTACACTTTCACGGTATCTGTTTCAGGTGACTTTTTTTATATTTTGTTCAAATGTTGGTATTCGACAGAATCACATAATTAGCGCTGTTTAATTAAATTGGATTTTAATTTTTGTAATCATAACGAAAATTAATCCCATTGTCCGTACGCACTTTTCCAGATTTGAAAGCCGCTAAATAACACAGTTTAACATTTTACATTATTTTACAATTTTTTGCAGTCGTCAGCTACCGTGTTATGCAGTATTCTTTTCTTATTTGATAGTAATACGGATTTTGTTGTGATGCTTGTTCATATTTCTTCAGTTTTCCTCATTTTTAAAATTTTTTCCTGCGTACTTTCTGTACCACCGGTGATTGCATTCAGCCATTTATGTATGTATATGTATGTATTTACCGCACTCAATTCCGTAATGACATTATAAGCGGTAGAATAATGCATTTTGAAATACTGTAATAGCAAAATGTCTAAACAGTCAGCAATAACAATAAACCTACGTAATTTGCCGTTACCTAAAAACTACATTGAAGCAGAGTAACAAATGTTCTTCAGAAGAAGTTTTCAAGGGGAACTGTACATTGGTTTTTTTTAATTAAAGTTTACAAATATTAGTTTGCTTATGAAGATTTTATTATTTTAATTATTTACATGGTTAGTTCGAATTCAGGGAATGCGTAACTACTGTTGATTCCTGAAGAAGATCCATCGCGATTTTGCTTCTGAAGGTGACGAG